TTCTCGGACATCGCTCGGGATGCGAGGGATGATGTGGATACGTCCTTGCCCCCCGAGGTCCGAATAATATCCATATCCACCGCGCCCTGGTGTCCCCAGACATCCGACGTCGTGGTCTTTTATCCGACGGGTGCTCCCCAGAGGTCTGGACCCGTTCTTGGGTGCAGGCGGTTGTCTTGAGTCGTGATTTGGCGGCCCCTGGGCCCGGCAAGGCCCCTCGGGGACTGCGGGGGAAGAGTTCCTCCTCCTCCTCCTCCTCCTCCTCCGCCTCCTCCCCCTCCTCCCCCTTCCCCCTCCTCCTCCTCCTCCTCCTCCTCCTCCTCCTCCTCCTCCTCCTCCTCCTCCTCCTCCTCCTCCCCCTCCCCCTCGAGGCCGAGAGTTGTCAAACGCTTGCCCTCGTGACTTGTTGTCACGGAGCCAGGAGGCCAGGAGCTCTGGGACAGTTGCCCCCTCCCGGCCAGCGGCACGTGTAGCACTTCTGGCCTCAAGCGGATCGGGGACGGCAAAGAGGGGGGTGATGACTAGGGGGCGGCATCTCATGGCGTGGGCCATGATATTTCCCCAAATCTCAGGGCGTCTCCTCTTATTTCACTACGTCCCTGGCCCCTCCCCCTGGGCCGCGCACATGCCGCCGTCCATGATTTGCACCCCCCCCTCTTGGACGCCCCCCTCTTGGCCGCCCCCGAGGGGAGGACGGACGTGAGAATCGGGCCAGCCTACTCCAAATCCCTTATTCATCGTCCCCCAGGTTCGGTTTTTTGAGGCGCCTTTCTGAAAACTGGCGGGGCTTAGGGGGTCCGGATTATGAAGGCGCCGTGGAAGGGGGGGGTCCAGAATATTGGGTCGCATTTGGAGGGGGGTACGGTTTTTTTTTAGGGGCGGGTCGATTCGTAAGGGATTTGGAGCAGGATGGGCGCACGTCGCTCCAGAGCGTGCCGGAGCAGGCTCGGGGCCCCTCGAGGCGGGACGCTCCGAGGCGGCAGCGGCGCCCAGTGCCTCCTCCCCCAGAGCCGCGAGCTCTCTCGGAGAGCCCCGACGTCAGCGCTGTCCCACGTGTCGGGAGGGGCAAAGCACAGACAGACAGACACACGCACGCACGCACGCACAGGCAGACACGCACGCACGCACACGCACGCACGCACACGCACACGCACACGCACACGCACACGCACACACACACACACACAAACACACACACACGCACAAACACGCAGACGCAGATGCAATGCATCGCCGACTCCCGGGAAGATGTGGGGAAATAGATGGGAAGTGCGGGAGAAGAAGACGACGACCCAGAACATGTGGGAAACTATAGGGATGTCCTGGGATTTTGTGGTGTGGCTACATTGATTATCTTGCACAGCTGTGTGCTAGAGCTCGAGCCATGTTTTTGTTCGTTCGTCGTCGTCGTTCGTTCGTTCGTCGTTCGTCCTCCCCTCCCCCCGGCCACGGAAGGAGACTCCTGGAGGAGGGAGGTGAAGCGAAAGCCTCCTGTCCCTCGCAGCTCCTTAGAAGGAAACTCCTGGAGGAAGGAGGTGAAGCGAAAGCCTCCTGTCCCACGCAGCTCCTTGGCGCAGGAGCCAGGGCATGCGTGCCACTTGTTTATATGTCTTGGCATCGCTCGGACGTGTGCATTTTTCCTTCGGCGAGGACCATCAAGTACCATCCTTGATCATTTGGCGAAAACGCACGAAACCGACAAAAACACAGGGAATGGACGTCCGAGCGATGGCCAGGGGGGCGCTTCGGAGGCCTGGGGCAAGCAGGCGGGTGGCGCAGCGTCGTGCGAGCCTCTAGGCATCCCAGATGGGGCTGGAGTGCGGCAGATTCGCGTCGAGTCGACTGGCGGCGACCCCGCCGCCAGCGTTCCATTTCGAACGCCGGCGACTCAGGATGGGCCCATCGCTGAACGATTCGGCGTTTCTGAAGCGGTTGATCCTTCGAGGTTGAACGATTCCCATGGGTTCCGGCGCGTGGGGTTCGTCACGGGTCACGGGTCCCGTGTCCATGCCGACTCGGCGCGCTCCGTCGCCGCGTCGGGGCGGCGTTGGCCCCCATCCTCTGCCGGGGGCTGCCCGATCCGTGGACTCGGCATGGTCAGGAGGAGGAGGAGGAGGAGGAGGAGGAGGAGGGGGAGGAGGTTCACCGCCCATAGAGGGGGGAGGGTGAAGGAGGAGAAGGAGAAGGAGGAGGAGGAGGAGGAGGAGGGGGAGGAGCGAGCCGGCCTGATTCGGCTGAGTGTGGTGCATGTTCGGGCCTGATCCGGCTGCACAGCCCCCCAGCTGGACTCCGCAGTCGCAAGTCGTTTCCAAGACCTCCCAGGAGTTGCCTCCCAACAGTGCGCGGCGAGCGCAAGAAGGACGAGGGCCAGGGGACGGAAGGATGGACAGCGAGATACCTAAACATCGTCGTGCTGTCAGGGTCCGCTCAGATTTTTGTGCTGGGTCCACGCGGACGTCCTCCAGTTTCTGTCGCGGTGCTCTTGTCGTCTCTTGCCGACTCTGGGGCAGGGCGAGGGCAAAGGTGGGAGGCGGGAGGGAGCCTGCTGGAGTACATCTGGGGGCTCCCCGCCCGTCGCCAGTCCCCCAGCATTGGAACGCCCGAGTGAACGAGACCTCCTCGGAGCTTGCCCCAGGTTCTCTTGGTATCACTCGGACGTGTGCACTGTACATTCTCGGCGGGGATGATCAAGGAGCAGCCTGGACCGCTCTGCGAAAAAGCCACGTACGACACCGACCAAAAAACACAGGGAAGGGACGTCCGAGCGATGGCCGGTCCTCCGTGGATGTCAGGAGGGGCGCAGAGAGGGCGCCGCCTTCGAGGATCCAAGGAGTTGAGCATCGGTTTCTCGGCGGCAGGCGGCGGACGGCCGGTGGAGGGCGGCGGCGGTGAAGCGGGGGGCGGCTCCGCCGTTGGAGGCCGGCGGCAGATCTGCGGAGGCTGCAGGAAGTAGACATGCCACCCCCGACGGATCCCCATTCTCGGGGGGTCCCCCCGCCGCGTGTTGGCGTCGTGAGAGTGCCCTCCTCCTCCTCCGGTCCTCCGCGCGGCCGCCCTCGCCCTCTTTCCCCCCTGGCTCGCCGGCCGAGTCGCCTCTCCGTCGCCCTGGATCGCCACCCGCTGGAGCAGCTTCGCTGCCTCGTCGCTAACGTTGAGTCGGGCCTGTCCCTCTACAGGAGGAAGATTCAAAAATAGCCAAAAAATAGTTTGGGGGACTATTTTTGATTATTTGTCATGAGTCTGGGGTATTTTTTGAGGAAACGAAATCGCCCAAAATCCGCCCGTAGGGGGATACGCCCGACTTGACGCTAACGAAAAAAAGTATTTGCGTTGCGACTGCGCTCGCGGCCATCGTGGATATATATATATATATATATAGAGAGAGAGAGAGAGAGAGAGAGAGAGAGAGAGAGTGGGAAGGGCGAGGCTTGCGGCCTTTCCGAGCTCCGAGCCTGGTGCTGGAGAGCGCTTGAATGACCAGGACGACGAGGACGACGACGACGACGACGACGACGACGACGCCTCGTTCGGGTCGAGTCGTTTCCCGCGTTTCTTCCGCGGCCTCCCCCCGACCTCCGAGGCCTCTGTGTGGCATCGTCGGTGGTCGTCGTGCGGAGCAAACTTGCTGGGGCGAGCTAAAAATTCATCTCCTGCCGCGTCGGCCTGCGCTGGGGGTCTCCCGTTGGACTTCTCTGGGCCATCTCGAGACATATGAGGCGTTCCAAAAACGGCCATGCCTTCGGGGTTCGAAGGAGTTGTCATCTTCTCCGCCGCGGAAGGCGGCGGAAGGGTGGCCGACGGTCGGCGGAAGTCAAACGAGGCCGCCTCCGCTGGCGGAAGCCAGCGGAAGGGCGGCGGAAGGTGGCGGAAGTATCGAATGTGCCCCCAAGAGATGGAGACGCTTTTGGGTCAGGGGTTCCGAAATCGCCTATATCGGGGGCCATCGCCAGTCGTCGACATGTGGTGGAGCAGCAGCACGGCTCTCTTGAGTCCCCTCCGCTTCGGCGACCTCTCGATGTGCATTCCGCCCTCGTTGTGACCTCGTGGGGCAATCCTTAGGGCCAGGCTTCTTCAGGCCGTGCGGGAAGTTGCCAGGGCCACTCTTAGCAGTCGACGGGGATCACGCACGGATGCTCGAGACACAACATAACATTGGGGAAACGTAGAACTCGAATAAGCCGGAACTCGGGTTTGCCGACGTCGTCTGACGAGTGCGTCCTGGATTTTTGCTGTCCGGTTTTCGGGGGATGTCTGCAGCGGGAACTCGCGTCACATTTCAGATTGGGTCTCGTCATTTCGATGATGTCTCCGTCAGGCCAACCCGAGTCCCCCGTATCCGAGTCTTTCGTCTCCCGATAACACAATCACATGTTTGGACCTCCGTCTGGCCAATGTCGAACCGGTGCGCATAAGCGAATCCTTGGTTGAATCCCACCTGCGCGACCGCTCTAGTGACGCTGATGCCCCCTCACTGCTCTCGTCTTCCGTCTCCGTCGGCATGTTTGCCTCTCGCACCATGATTTCTATCACCTTTCCCGTTTCCTGGGAGCTCTTCCTGTCGTCCCCGTTTTCCTTCTCCATTCTCCCTTCGTGTTGGTTTTGGTCCACAGTTTCCGTTTGCCCATTTCAAAAAAGTGTAGTTCCAAGTGGATATCGTGCCAGGCGCCGTAATGCCATTCCAAATTTGCCATGTGCAGCCGGCCGAAATTGCCCGCGTCGTGGGATCGGGGGTGGAAGGACAGCACAACAAGATACAAGCGAGGATGTCGCGATGTGTTGATGGCTTGTACGTCGGTTCGTCTGAGTGCCTTGTTGGATCGAGCAGAGGCAGGGTCGCCCTGAATGTTATCTGGTGTATCTATCTTGTCGCCTTGTCCCCCACGCCACACCAGAGCCGCTCTGGGTCCTCCTTGGATGTGTGCGAGCCATCACGAGGTGCATCGAAGCCTCTTAGAGCATGTCGAGCCGTCTGAGCACCCTTGCCAGCGGCAAGAGGCGTG